GGGGGCGCAGGCGTTAGTCTCAGCGCCATGAAGCCGTCGCCAGCCACTGCAGCATGAGTTCCATCCCCGGCCAGGGAGTGACCCCCAGGGCGCAGCAGACCTCTCCTGACTGCCCGCTGCTCCCCTTAGACCTGCCTGTTCTGCTCCCCACTCCATCTCTGCTGAATCCTCTCACCCCCACATGTCCGGCCTGCACCCCAGCTCTTGTAGCATAAATAAATAAATCTTTAAAAAAAAAACCCTAAAAAAAAAAAGACCTCTACGGGCACAGACGCCCCCGGAGCCCCTGCCCTCTGCATCCCAGCCTCACCAGCCACGAGATGACGCACCCGTCCAGCTCCGAGCTTGCGCCCCCCCACGAGGGGTTAGACACAGACGCCTCGGGCGGAGCAGACACAGGCAGGAGCAGTTCTCCAGACGCCGCGGCTATCATTCAGGGAGACCCCCGGCCCCCAGCCCCACCACAGGGCAGCGTCTGGTCAGCGGTTACTCGATGGCTTTCTCAGCTCACCCCTTGCTCCTGCTGCCGCCAGGGCTGATGTCGGGGCTCGGGGCCACGCGGGTGCCTCTCCAGCCAGTGCCGGCTCTTAACCCCCCCAGTCTTGGTCTCCTTGAGGGGGTCCCTCCACATCCTTTCTTGCTCCTGCCTGTCGGGTGGCCACGCGCCCCCAACATCGGTGGGGGTCAGAGAGCCCAGTGGACCACTGCCTGGGTGTCTGGAGACACACCCCTGGGCCCCTGCTTCTGTGGAGGAAGGAGACGCGGTCTCTGGGCCGGGCTGGGAGCGCTGGGCTCCTGGAGGCAGGGTGGGGGGAGTGGCAGAAAGGGGGTTGCTTCTGTTCCCCGGGACTGAGGGGCAGTTCTCAGCAGACTTATCCCAGGTTTTCCTAGGCGGGCAGATGCCTTCTGGTTAATACTTACCAGAATTTATTTTGAGTGGCCAGCTGGGAACAATAAACAGGAAATATCTGATTTAAGGGCTTACTCTAAGGTTTAAAGATTACCCTGTGACTATCTGATAAAGACTCAAGGTTCAGGGATTATCTTGGTGCAGTTCAAGTTCTGCAGTTCTCTCAGGCAAAGTCCGAGGCCCTGGCGGCCTCTGTGCCCCTTCCCCGGTGCCCGCCCTGCCAGGTGACAGCTGGCAGCCGTTCCGCGGGCTGGTCCAGGAGAGCCTGTGGACTCGCCACTCTGGGTGGGTCTTGGGCAATTTGTGACTTTTGTGCTTGCCGCGGGCTCTGCCTGTCGGGCCCTGTCTTGGAAAACAGGTGCCCCGGCTCAGCTCCTGCTGTGTTTCTGCTCACACACGTCCCGCCAGGACGTCCCGGAGAGGCATCCACCCTGGGGCGTGGCCCAGGCGGCCTCCACGCGGTGTCTCGGCCACAGGCTTCCCGTAGCGGAACACCCGCCGGCCCAGCTTGTGCGAGCGAGGCCCGAGAGCCAGAGTCGGGGGCTGAGTCCAGGCCCAGTTCAGGCCCGCAGGCCTCTTGCTCTGCTCTGCATCTCCCGCCCGTCCTTGCACTCTGTTTGGTCATCGGCCTTTAGTGTGTGAAGTGTGTGGTGGCCACACACTCAGGGCCTGACCCAGGGCGCCCAGTGGGAGCATTGCACGGCCTCCCACCCGCCTCCTACCCCGCGCTGGCCGGTGGCCAGGAAAGGCTCAGCCACAGGGTGCGTGAGGCTCGGCCCTGGGCCTGGGGCCTGCAGGCTTGTCCCCCTGGTGTGCAAGGGTGGGCAGGCGTGCGTGTGGGTGGAGAGTGTGCGCGTGTGCTGGGAGAGCGGGGCAGGTGAGCGAGGAGGGAAGGGCGACCGCTCTGCTCTTCTGGAGCGCCCGAGGCCCGTGCCTGCCGCTGCGGGGCCGTCGTTACCGTGGGAGACACGTGAGTCCGTCTGCAAGCAGGAGGCGCTGTCGGGCAGCCTCAGCGCGACTGCCCACGCACAGCTGCGCTTGTGTCAGCAGCCACGTGGTGGGGCCGCGGGAGACACTTCCAGGCCACGTGGTGGGGCCGCGGGAGACACTTCAGGCCTCGGGCTGGGCGGTGACTTTGGGTCTGGGTGCGGGCCCAGCTGCTGCGGGCTAAGGACCCCCCCCTTATGGTGGCTCTCGGGACCGCGTGGGGCGGGGAAGGGGTCCAGATCGCACCCTTTCCAGCAGCGTGCTGGCTGGCCGCATGCTGTTGTCTGGTTTGATGTCGGGGGGGCATAGCACCCCCATGCCCCCCCCCCGCATGTTACTTTGGCTATTCGTGGTCTTTTGTGGTTCTGTACAAATTGTAACATTTTCCTGCTCTTGTAAACATTTCCTTGAAACTTCCACGGGCTGCGGCGCGACCCCGCCCGGCTCGGCTCATGGCGCCTGCGCGGCCCTTCCCTTGGGAGCGGGGGCGTCTCCCAGTCCCCGGGTCCTCTGCTGCTTCAGCTGCTTTTGTGCCTTCACTTCCTTTTTCAGTTTATCACCAGGTGTTTACTTTATTTTTAATGTGGTTTGAAATGAGGTTGTTCTCATTGTTCTCTTAATTTCTCTTCCTTCTAGTTGTTATTTGCAATAGATCTTTGTGTATTGATTGTGTAGCCGCTGCCTGATGTCCTGGTTACTGTCCCACCGCCGCGCGGGGCTTGGGGCCTCCTCTGTGGTCTGCAGACAGCGAGGGCCCCCCCTTTCCGATCCGCATACACCGCATTCCCTTTCTTGGCTCGCTGCTCTGCCTAGATGCCGGCGCTGCGTTGTGGGATGTGGGGTGGAGTGAACACACCCCATCCTGGGGGCCGCACCCCTTCCCCACATTTGCTGCAGGCGTGTGGGGGTGGCCTGAGCACCCCCAGGGCACTCCTGAAGCTGCGAGCAAGTGGCTCCCCCATGCAGGGAGCAGGACAGCCTGGAGAGGACCCGAGTGTTTCTCTGGAGGGCCTGGATTTCTGGAGTGGGCACCGGGGTGACGCGGCGTGAGGGGGAACAGAGCTCTCTGTGACCACAGCGGAAGGAGGACTCCCCGACAGGGGCAGCCGGACGCCGGGGCTGACCACACTGCACAGGTCACTCATGCATCTGGCCGCGAGGAGCAAAGCTCGTCGCCTGTGGCCGCGCGGGGGCCTGGGTCCCGCCGAGGGAGGTGCGTCAGAGCAGACAGCTGCTCGGGCTCGGCTCCCGCAGCTAACCGGCAGCGGGGGAGGCGGCTCGGCATGGCCAGGGCCTGGGCGGGGTCAGGCGGACGGGGATGGAGGGCGAGAAGGCGCAGTGGGGACGCCCCGAAGTCCAGGCCGCGCCGACCGGCTGTGCTGGGGGCCTTTGGCCGGCGGCGTTGGCTGGGGCCGCGCTCACAGTGACGGTCACTGCTGGGACAGACCGCCCACCCCGCGCCCTGCGCCCGCGACCTCTCGCAGGTCTGCTCCACCTCAAGTTAAAGAAGGAAGAGAAAACAAAGCGGGGGCAGGGCGAGGGCAGCCTCCTCACGGGCCTGGGCCCAGCACCGTGTCCTGCGTGCTGTGGCGGGAGAGGGACACCCGAAGGCCGGTGGTCGCAGAGAAGCACCGCGAGCCGGGGCAGTGGCTGGCTGGACGGCATCCCCGGGGAGGTGGGTGCTGGGGAGGAGCCCGGGCCCCTGGCTGGGCCTGTGTGGAGCCGGGCGCCGGAGCCAGGGTGGCTGCAGGCAGCAGGAAGGACTCTGGCCTCAGGGAGGCGGGTCCCGGGCAGCGCGTGCAGAGTGTCCCGTGGCCGCCCCTCCCCGTGCGCCCAGAGTGAGCGCCCAGGCGGCTGAGCAGCTGCGGGTCCCCACCCCCTCGGCCAGGGCCCTGGTGCCTAGGGCTGGGCAGTGAAGTCCTGGGGGCGGAGCGGAGCGTGGCCCCAGGGAGCCCGAGGCGGGTGGCTGGGATGGCTGAGGCCTGGCTGCTCTGCTTCCTCGGGCTGGTTTCCCCCTGTTCCCAGGAGCTCCCCGCGCCTTCTCCAGGGGCATTTTTGAAATTCCCTCTCCCGATGCATGTGTCACGTGCCATTAAAATGCCCCTAGAAGGTCCCTTTTCAGACGTGATTTCCCACCAGTGTCCCGGCCTCTGTACTGAAGGGTCTTGCTGGGTGGACGAAAATGCAACTTGAGGCCACAGATGAGCCTCCAGGAAGCGGGGCTCCCGGAGCCAGCAGCAAAGGAGGCGCAGAAGAGCTCCCCCTCCAGCCCCCAGCCACTGAGGCCAGGGGCGGTTCCGGCCAGGGCCCCGGGTGGCCGGAGCCAAGCTGCAGCGCTCCCCGCGAAAGCCAGTTTCTCAGCCCCACACAGGGGCGAGCGGGCAGAGCGCTCCTGCCGCTCCCCGGGGGGTGCGGGGGCCCCGGAGGGTCTGGGCTGGCGGCTGCGGAGGTCGGCGGCCCCTCGCCTCCCCGCGCGCCCCGGGCCCTCGGCGTGGCCGGCGCGCGCTGTGCCGGGCGCTGCCCGGGGGCACCTTCCGAGGAGCGCGGCCGCCGGGGGTCCGGCCGGGAGGCGGCGGCGACCCCTCGGGCTTCCGCGGGCGCCGGCGCGACTTCCCGGGTGCGGGGCGGTCCCGGGGCCGCGCGCGGGCCGAGCCGCCCGCGTCCTGGCGCGCCCCGGCCGAAGCCCCCCGCCCGCGCCGCGCCCGCGCCGGGAAGCGCGCTCCGGGCCGGCGCCGCGGCGGGAGGACACGCAGGCGCCGCGGGCGGGGACGCGCGGGCAGCGGGCGGCAGCGGGCGGGCAGCGGGCGGGCAGCGGGCGGGCAGCGGGCGGGCGCGCCCTCCAGGAGGCCGGGCCGGGGCGCGCGGCGCGGGAGCCGCGGGGCGACAGGTGCGGGGCGCTGCCGGGCGCGGGGACGCGCAGCCCCAGCCGGGAGGGCGCGGAGGGGACCCGCTCCCAGGCGCGGGCGGCGCCCGGCACGGCTGCTCCCGGCGACGCAGGGGCTCGGCAGGTCCGCTCGGCTCCGCTCCCTCGCCGCCCGCCCCGCGCCCCGTCGGGAAGCTGCGCCCGGGCGCCCGGCCCGACCCCACGCCCGCCCCGGCCGGCATGGAGCCCGCGGGGAACCTCAGCGCGGGGAACGCGAGCGGCCGCGAGGCCCCCCGGCCCGAGCCGCCGCTGCCCGCCGGCCTGGACGTGGAGAACTGGGTCACGCTCGCGGTGTTCGGCCTGATCTTCGCGCTCGGCGTGCTGGGCAACAGCCTGGTGATCGCCGTGCTGGCGCGCAGCCGGCCGGGCAAGCCCCGCGGCACCACCAACCTGTTCATCCTGAACCTGAGCGTCGCCGACCTGGCCTACCTGCTCTTCTGCGTGCCCTTCCAGGCCACGGTGTACGTGCTGCCCAGCTGGGTGCTGGGCGCCTTCCTCTGCAAGTTCACCCACTACTTCTTCACCGTGTCCATGCTGGTCAGCGTCTTCACCCTGGCCGCCATGTCCGTGGACCGCTACGTGGCCATCGTGCACGCCCGGCGCGCCTCCTCCCTGCGCGTGTCCCGCAACGCGCTGCTGGGCCTGGGGCTCATCTGGGCGCTGTCCGTCGCCATGGCCTCGCCGGTGGCCTACCACCAGCACCTCTACCGCCCGCCGGGCAGCAACCAGACCTACTGCTGGGGGCAGTGGGCCAGCCAGCGCCACAAGAAGGCCTACGTGGTGTGCACCTTCGTCTTCGGCTACCTGCTGCCGCTCCTGCTCATCTGCTTCTGCTACGCCAAGGTGCGGCCGAGCGGGCGGCGGGGCGGGCGCGGCACTCCCGGGCCTGCGCTGAGACCCCCCTCCAGTCCCCACTTCGGCCCGGCAGGGACCCCTGCTTCACAGCCACCTGAAAGCTACTTGGAGCTGGGGGTGCCTGGGGAAGCTTGTGGGGCACTTCCCTGATGCCAGGAAGAAGGGTTTTCTGGTCCCTCCCTGCACACCCCTCCCCCGTCCTGAGCCCTGCGGTTGTCCTGGCTCCAGAGCACACCCCCACGTCCCAGGAGAGGCCCTGCCCTGCTCCTGACCTGGACTGCCTGGCTAGCTGGTGATGGGGGGCTGACAGCGCCTGCTCTGGCCCCCCACTGGCTTTTTGCAGGGTAACAGGTTGGTCACCCCCCCTCAGTTGGGACGTGGGGGTTACCTGGGGCAGGTGCAGGTCCCTGGCATGCAGGTCCCTGGGGGCCCGACGCAGCATGGCTCACACCCCGGTGGGAGACACTTCACTTTCTCCACAGCCTCCAGAGGCGGGGGCGGGGGGGGGGGGCTGTGACTGTGAGACCCCGTCCACTTCTGGAAGGCTGTGCAGGCCCTGTCAGTGATTGGGCAGCCGGTCCAGACCCTTCACTCTGCAGCTGGACTCCTGGGCTGGCTCTGGGCCCGCCTGCTCCCTGGGTGCTCGGCCACTGCCTCCCCCGCCACCAGTGGCTCTGGAGTTTTGTACTGATCCGAAGTCTGAAATCTTTTGACACACCTTGCTTACGTTCGCGCACAAGGAGTGATGCTTAGTACCTCGCAGTAGGGATTTGTGGGGCTCCGTCTGCGCACCCCGGGCCAGCCCTGTCTGGGAAGCATCTCTGGAGCCTCACCCTGCAGTGGGCACTGCCCCCTCTCCAGCCCCTCTCTCTTGCCTTCTCCCTGGCCAGCCTGTGGCTCTAGAACCTGCCAGAACCTGTATCAGCTTGGGGGGGTGGACTAGGGGGGCTGGGGGGACAGAGTTTCCTGTATTCATAAAGCATTTTCCCAGCACAGATGTGCACTATAAACCGCTGGCTCCTGCTGACCTCCGTCCCCTGGAGCTGCTCTGAGTGCCGCGTGTCTGGCCATTGTCTGACAGGCTGGGCTGGGCAGGGGGCTGGCCCTAGAGCCCACACGCCCCAGGGAGCCGCACGAACGTCCTCCCAGCTCTTCGGGAAATGGCTGGTTTGTTCATTTTGTCTTTGGCAAACGCGACCGGGGCTGGCCCCTCAGGCTGCCCTCTGGCCAAGACGGGCACTCTTCCGCTGCCTGCTGGAGGCGTCGGCTGGCCCACATCAGGCTGGAGGGGGGAACTCGGGACTCCCCGCCCAAGGGAGGGGCGATGGGTCAGCCCCAAGGGTGGGAGACTTGGGGCCGGACACATTCTTCCGTTATTTGGTTTTTGATTTAGAATCCCTGGGTCGGGAAGCAGCTTTTACTTCCTAAAACCTTTAGGGCAATGACTGAGGTCTTGGGGATGGAAACGACGAAATCAGCCTTCGGGAACGGCTGGGCTGCGCTTCTGTCATTTGGGGTTCAGGAGAGCAGTGCAGGGGTGGCGTCTAAAGCTGGTTTGTTAAAGCGCAACACACGTGATCACAGGGAGATTTTTGTACGGAAGAGGTCTGCTTCCAAGCGTGTCTGGTAGATTTTACGATTCAAGGCGGTGTTTGCAGGTTCATTGCCACGCCCGGGTGGGGGCGGTGACCGCTCGCCTGGGCCCCTCTGCTGGCCCGTCCCGGCTCTCACTGGCCAGGCCCAGGGCGGCCAACCCGGCCGGGGCGTCCTCGTGGGGATCACAAAGGACCAAAAGCACCTGAAATGACACACCTTTCCTTCTTCTGCCACCCGGGGGAAGTGCGTTCCGGAACTGCCTTCTGCTCCCGGGACTGTGGGTCTCCAAGGCTTGGGGTCCTCCAAGGTTGGGGGTGCTCTTTGAGGCTGGTGCCTCTGGGAACCGATGGGGAGGTGGCTGCAGGCCCCCCTCGCCTGCTGCCCTGCTGAAGGGTTCCTGTCCGGGGCTGGCCCCGCACGCTCTCCCTGTCGGGGATTCCTCGGGGACCCTGTGAGTGCAGCACGGGCATCAGCTGTTCGCCCCCGCGGGGGCTGCTCACTCTTTGTGGGCTGGGCAGGCTGCGAATGACCCTGTGGCTTCTCCTTGGGGAGCCGCTCCCAGGCGCAGCAGGCTCTCTCCACAAGTCCAATTGGATTAGGGCTCCTGGCTGCGCAGAGGGCCGAGAGGCTGGGCCGTGGCTTCTAGCTCTGAGACCTCACTGCATCGCAGGGGAAAAGCCCTGAGTCACGCAGAGGACGATTCTCCCTGAGCGCCCACTCCAGAGCGCACTGAGAGCTGCCGTCGGCGGGGCTGGGCCGGGAGGTCAGGCCAAGCTCCTGCCACAAGTCCTGGGGACCCGTCGCGCCAGCGTTTCCCCCCAGGGTTTGTAGCTCGGCCACTCGGCTGCCCAGGGAACAGGCCGGCTTTCTCAAGGAGCCCTCCCCAGCGCCCACTGTCTCTTGCTGACCGATGTCCACTCCCCATGGCAGTGGTCAAAAGGCGCAGTGTGTGTGTTGGGGGGGTGGGGGCCCCAGGTGGCCTGCTGGTGGGGGCTCGCAGGAAGGAGGCTGGGGGTGCCGCAGAGCAGGGCGGGAGTGTGGGCTGAGGGGGCCTCCCTGACTGGCCTCACGTGGCCTGGGCCTCCCTGCCATGTGGGTAGTCCCGGGGCACCGTGATTGACACGGGGCCTCGTGGTGTTAGGGAGCGGCTCCGGGGAGACGGGTGGACGCACAGAGTGAGGACGCAGGGGCGGGGGGTGCGGCCCATCCTGGAGAGACCAGGGCCGCCTGCAGACAGGCCCTCTGGCCATGACCCCCCAGGCCCCGGTGCCGGCCGCCCGTGGGGCTGCCCCCGTGTCTCGTCTCTGCTCCTGGAGGTGCGTGTCCATCCCGCGGGTTTGCTTCTCACCGTTGACAACGCCCAGCGTCACCAGCGCAGAGGGGACGAGGAGTCGTGGGCTACGAGGCTGCACTTTCATTCATCGTCATTCCTCTGTGTCCTTCAGGTCCTTAACCATTTGCACAAGAAGCTGAAGAACATGTCCAAGAAGTCAGAAGCCTCGAAGAAAAAGGTAAGTGCAGGTGCGCCTGCGCCCGGGGCGTCCAGTGTATGTCCGCCGCGTTGACCCGCTGCCCACCCCGCGCCTCTGGGATTTGGGCTCCCGGGCAGACGTTTGCCAGTGCCCGGCGTGGGGGACGCGGGCGTCAGCTCTGGGGAGGCTCGGGGGCGGCAGGTGTGCGCGGCGTCGGGGCGGCCTGTCTGTTGGGCGGGGGAGCGGGCGCGGGCTGGGGACGCTGCGCGATTCCCCCGAGGCTACTGCCTTGTCCTCCGGGGAGCGCAGGCCTCTCCCTCCAGCCCGGCCTCTCTGGCCTGGGATGACCTCGGCCCTGCGGGGGATTCCGCCGGAGAGTCCGGAGCCGGCCCACCGTCACTGTCTGTGTGATCCTGCCTGTCAGCCCGGCTGGCAGCAGCCCGCCCAGCGTGCTCCCGTCTCTGGCGTTTCGCGTTTTGAGGGCAAGCTATTCTATAAATCAGGATTAATTTAATCTTACTCAGATAATTTATAATCTCTGGCTTTAGAAAGTAGGAGGAAAGCAGAATGAGATTACTAGACAATCTGATTAGGGCGGAGATTATAAGCAGACATTTTAACCCATGAATATGCACCACAATGTCTTAAAATATCTTGTTTTTCTTTCTAAATATTTATTATGATCAATGGCGAGAATAATCGCAGAAATTATAGTTCAAATAGTCATAGATTTCAAAATTTCTACTTAAATCAAGTACAGATCTTCCTGGCTTTGTTATTTTTTTACTTTATTATTTTTAATTATTATTGTCTGTAAACAACACCGTGGCTGAAAACACAAGCGCTCGCAGGCCCTGGGGAGGCAGCTGGAGCAGGTGGTTGAAAGCACAAGGGTGAGCGTGTATTCATGTGTGATCCTGGTGTCTGGGCTCACCCTGTCCGGGGCACGCCAGGTCTGAGAGGCCTCTGTGCCCGGGCTGCTTCCAAGAGGAAGCGCAGGAGAGGCCTCTGCCCGCAGCAGCCCGGGCTCTTTGCACTCGCTTCTCTCCCCTCCGGTGAGGGGCCAGCAGCTCTCTGCCTGCCGGCCACGCAGTCGGGGGTGCTTCTCCCCGTTTTCGTCTTTTAGGTCCTGTTTTCCTCCCTCCGAGTTCCATTAGACACGCTGTGAGGGAAAAAGCAGATGGCTGTTGAAAACGAGCATCTCGTAGGAAAAAAGATTAGTATTTTTCAGATTCTTCCCGGCCAAGGAGGACGAGGGGCCGGGCTGGGGAGGACGCAGGCCTTTTGCACTGTCCGGAGGCAGGACTGAGGCCCGCTGCTCACGGTGGACACGTGGGGCCCCCATGTCCAAACGAGGCTGTAGCAGGGGGCGCAGGACACCATGCAGAGGGCCTGCTGGCCAGGCGCTCTGACACCCAAGGGGAGGGGGCGCTCTGGGGGGACTCCTCCGCCCTGGAGGCCGTCCATGCTGCTGGGCCTGTGTGTGCAGCCTGAGGTGGGTGAGAGCTCTGCTTTGCCCTGGCTTTCAGGTCCCTCCCCGCGGCTCTCCGGCCGTCTGCAGAGGCGGGCTGTGCGTGAGACCCTGCTGCGGCGCCAGATGAGCCTGGGCGGGGGCTGGGGCCTGGGCATCCCGAGATCAGTGCGGCAGTGCGTGGGCACGGCGGGCCCGAGGGCAGGACCCAGGGGGACTTGTGCGGGCATCAATTTCCCGGCTCCCTGACTTAGAGTGGCCAGTGGGGGCCGCTTCCTGCACCCCCTTCCTGTGCCCTGGCCTGGGGCGCAGCACCTGTTGCAACGGAGAGGGAGGGAAAGTCGGCTGTTCCAGCTGTGCTGGCAGAGGCAATTGCCTGATGCGATGTTGCTGCAGGGGAGGCCGCAGGGCCAATACCGGCCTTCGCGGGGCTGGCTGGTGTCCAGCTCCAAGGCCTCGGCTCCAAGGCCGAGCTGCTGTGAGCCGGAGAGCTGGGCTGACTCACCCCACTGGGCAGGACACCAACAGCCGTCCTGTTCACCCCGGGAGCAGCCTCGGGTTAATGACTAGCTTGTGTAGTGCCCGCGGGTGTCCGCTCCGACAGACCATTGCAGAAGGTGACACCGGAGCTGGAGAGAGGGTCTGATGCTCAGAACAGACCACACTCTGCCCTGTTTGCCGGGCGATGCGGCTGGACGCCTCTGAGACAGTGTCCGAGGAGGGAGCCGCCTGATGGGTGAAGGGCTGCGCAGGCCGCCCTGGTGGGCACATGCCTGCTGGCTCCGTGTCCTGTGCCCGCGGCTCTAGCCTGTGGGCCTGCTGGGCTGTGGGCACCGGGCGTCCACCCGGGCTGTGTCTTGTGTCTCCACGGACCAGGCCCGGCCGGGGTCCCTCCTCCCTGACCGGGGCTCCGGGGCTGCTGTGGACTTCCTGGGCGCAGAGCTGCCGCACGGCGGCAGGGGCAGTGGCGGGCGGTGGTGGGTAGTGGCGGGCACGGCGGGCGGTGGCGGGCGACAGTGGGCAGCGGTGGGCGGCGGAGGGCACGGTGGGCAGTGGTGGGCTCGGCGGGCAGTGGTGGGCACGGCGGGCGGCGGCGGGCGGCGGTGGGCAGTGGCGGGCGGCGGCGGGCACGGCGGGCAGTGGTGGGCTCGGCGGGCAGTGGTGGGCACGGCGGGCGGCGGCGGGTGGCGGTGGGCAGTGGCGGGCGGCGGCGGGCACGGCGGGCACGGGGGCACAGTGGGCAGCGCGGGCCCCTCCCGGCACTAACGCCCCCCCTCCCCAGACCGCGCAGACCGTGCTGGTGGTGGTGGTGGTCTTCGGGGTCTCGTGGCTGCCGCACCACGTCATCCACCTCTGGGTCGAGTTCGGCGCCTTCCCGCTGACCCCCGCGTCCTTCCTCTTCCGCGTGGCCGCGCACTGCCTGGCCTACAGCAACTCCTCGGTGAACCCCATCATCTACGCCTTCCTCTCCGAGAACTTCCGCAAGGCCTACCGGCAGGTGTTCCGCTGCCGCCCGCGCGGGGGGGCGGCCCTGCACGACCCGAGGGAGAACCGGAGCCGCGTGGACACGCCGACGTCCACCAACTGCACCCACGTGTGAGGCGGACGGAAGGGGGGCCAGGCGGGAGGGGCGGCCGCCGAGCCCCGCCCCCGCCGAGCCCCGCCCCGCCGAGCCCCGCCCCCGCCGAGCCCCGCCCCTCCCCGAGCCCCGCCCCCGCCGAGCCCCGCCCCGCCGAGCCCCGCCCCGCCAAGCCCCGCCCCTCCTGAGCCCCGCCCCGCCGAGCCCCGCCCCCACCGAGCCCCGCCCCCACCTAGCCCCGCCCCTCCCTGAGCCCCGCCCCTCCCTGAGCCCCGCCCCGCCGAGCCCCGCCCCCGCCGAGCCCCGCCCCTCCTGAGCCCCGCCCCGCCGAGCCCCGCCCCCACCGAGCCCCGCCCCCACCTAGCCCCGCCCCTCCCTGAGCCCCGCCCCTCCCTGAGCCCCGCCCCACCGAGCCCCGCCCCCACCTAGCCCCGCCCCTCCCTGAGCCCCGCCCCCGCCGAGCCCTGCCCCCCACCGCCCACCAGCGACCCAGCTCGCCCCCAGGCACCGCCCCACCCCCGCCTGCCGCTTCTCACCCCGCCCCTAAAGCAGGTGCCGAAGCCGGTGCCCGAGGCTGGCACCGGGCCGCGGCCGGGGAGCGCGTGTCGGGGCGCCGTGCTGGGGAGCGCGGGTCTGTGGCGAGGGGCGCCGGCGCCCCAGCCGGTCTCTGGCTGCGCCCCGAGCGGAGGGGGCGCCCCAGCGGCCCCGCACCCCTGGGCGGCCCGCCGAGGGCCGCTACCCCATCAGACACGGACTTCGGGGGCTGCTCCGTGTGGGGGAGAAGCAGGAGGCGTCGGCGGATCCGGGGCTGCGCCCGAGCCCCTGTGGGGTCAGGGCGCCCCCCCCCGCACCCCGGCCGCTGGGCCCGCGTCTCCCGGCGCCTCGGGGCCGCGCGGGGGGGCTGCGGGCGGGGCGCCCCGCGCGGGCTGTTCTGCGCCCTGTTCCAGGCAGCACGAGGCTCGTCCCGACCCGCGCCTCGCGGGGCCCCGGGGTGCGCCGGGCTCGGCCGGGCCGGGCCGGGTCAGGGTCTCCGCCCGCGGCCGCCGCGGCAGAAATGGGGTGTTCAAGAGAAGAGCATGGAACAGCTCACAGCGCGCCCCGGAAACAGGCCTCGGCGGGACAGGCCGTGAGGCGCCCTAGCTGCTGCCCACGCCGGCGCGGCCACCCCTGCAGGGACAGGCACCGGGGCCACGGCGGCCCCTCGGGTGCCCCGCGCTGCAGGGGGGCGCGTGTCGTGTCCCGGCGGTCCCGGACCTGGTTCTCCCGCGGCGGCGCGGCCGGCTGCTCCTCAGCAGGCCGGCAGCTCGTCCTGCAGCGCTCTCCAGGCCCGGCGCCCTCGGGCGCGATGCCGGCCATGCCCACGAGCACCCGGGGGCGCGGGGTCCCCAGCCGTGTCTGCGCCGGCGCCCGGGCAGCCTTCTGGCGTGGAGGGAGGAGTCCTCCAGCGGCTCCTTCTCTCCAGGGGGTGAGAGGCCCCGGGCGCCCCCGGGCTGGGACCTGCATGTTGTCTGTGAAGCCGCCAGCTTGGGAACGTGGGTTTCGGTTAACTTCAAAGAAAATGGATGTTTTCTCCTTAATTTGGCTGCCTCAGGGCCTGCGGGCAGCTGTTATTTTTCTGAGGTCTTTGTTTTCCGGGGTGTTTCCGTCGCCCACGTGCTCGCGGCTCCCTGGGCATGAGCTGCAGCTCCGCCTGCCCCGGGCACGGCCCCCCGCTTGCTCGTCCGCGTCCCGGGGACATCTAGAGTGACGCTTTCTTGGGCTTCCGACCTGGCTCAGGAATGTGGGGCTGTGAAGGGAACCTTCTCTTTCGCACACGGGTGTGCCCACACGCTGCTCCCGCCCGCCCGCTTCTGCTCCCGCGCGCGCTGACGGGAGACGCCTCCTGGCCCTGCTTGGTCAGGAGGGAGAGGAGGGGCAGAGTCGCTGGCGCCACACCCGGCGCTCGCCCGAGCGGGAGGGGGACAGCTCGGCCTCCTTCCGCGGACGCACAGCCACCCCGGGCACCCCATGCCAGGCTGCCGGCCCCGCGTGAAGAGCCTCCCTGCCTTCTCTGCCCAGGCCCCCCGGCACCTCACAGTGGTGAGGCTGGGGCTCGGGCAGGGCTCCCGCTGGGCTCTGGCCTCAAGCAGCTGCAGCCCACACTGGCCAGGCCCCAGGGCGTGCAGTGACCCGTCCTGCGCTCCTTGGGGTGCCGGGCAGCTGCGGACGCCGCTGTTTTTATTTTCAAAGACTGTGTCGCGCGCCTTGTGCTGCTGCTACGTCTTGGAGAGGAGAAGTCGTGCCAGGACTAGTACCTGAGAGTTTACGCCGTGTTATCCTTTCTCGTTGGGGGCCTCACCCCCTCGCCGGCAGAGGTCTCGGCCTCCCCCAGGCCGGCCTCCCCGGAGCAGCCGCCGGGGCCCAGACGCGCTCACGGCTGCAGCGCCTGCTCGGCCGGGCCGGGGCTCCTCTCCCCAGCAGTTTGTCCTCGGTGCTGCGGCCCAGGGTGTGACTGGAGAACTGAGGACCCCATTTTCACACCTACTCCCTGATTTAGTTGGTCTGAAAAAGGAGCCCTGGTTTTTCTCAGGCCCCCGGCTGCTCGGCCAGCACTGAGGGTCACTCACGGTGAGTGGACGGTCCTCTCCAGTCCACGCTCAGCGGTTCCGTGAGGACAGCTGCTCTCACGGGCCGGGTCATGCCGCTCTTTCCTGTCCGCGTGGAGCAGTGCGGACGCAGCTGCCCAGCACCGTCCCCGGAGGGAGACACACGCTGCCACGGCTCGGGGTGTTGGACAGCCGCACGGGGCTGCGGGGATCCCCACAGGCGTCCCTGAGGGAAGAAAATAAAAGATCTTGTTGGAAAACAACAGTCTGCATTCACTTGTCTTCCAACCCAGAGGGAAGGTGTCGTGTTCAAAACCGCGGCAGTGGCTTGCGGACTCGGCGTCGCGACTGACGGCGGCCCCCACGCTGCGCGCCCCGAGTTTCAGCTCCGTTCCCACCCCTGAGAGACACGTGCGGCTCTCTCTGCGTCTCAAGCTTTGCGATCAAGCATCCCCTGGCAGTACAGCGGCGAGAGAACAACCGCAGGCGACTTTCTCCTCCCCCCAGCGCGACTGCTTCGACGCGCCGCCTGGCCAAGGCCCAGCCGCTCCCCGCATGCCAGGCGCTGCTGTGGCTGTTCCCTCAAGTTTGTTTCTCTAAAATCTGTGTCATCGCGTACAAATCCGGTGTGAACATTGTGTGCACATTAGCATGGATGTCGGTGAGCTTGCAGCCAAAGTGAGCCGTGTGTGTCCAGCCACTCGGTGCCGCGCGCCCTTCCCCCGGCTCTGCATGGCGTCCGGCCCGCCTGTGAGTGGGCTTGAAAATAAACTTTGTTCCTCAAAATGGTCTTATTTGTGAATATACTTTTTTTAAAGATTGATTTATTTGTGCACACAAGAGCTGGGGTACAGGCCAGAGGTGTGGGGGTGAGAGGATTCACCAGAGGCAGAGTGGGGAGCAGAACAGGCAGACTGACTGAAGTACACTGCTGAGGGGAGCAGCGGGGAGACAGGAGAGGTCTGCTGCACTGTGTGGGTAGCTCCCTGGCTGGGGATCGAACCGCTGTAGAGGCTGCGGTCTTCACCCCTGCGCCCCCAGGGAGGCCTCTGAATATACTTTTTCAAAATAAAGGGTGATCATACCGTTTTGTAAAGCATTTCCCGGAACACGGCTCCAGGTCGCTGAACGTGCTGGTGTCACCCCCGCGGGAAAGCAGCAGGGAAGCCCTGGGGGTTGTGCCGTGGACAGCCACGGCCACGGCCACGGCCTTGGGTTTCTCCTCCTCCCCCGCCCGCCCCTCCCCACTCCCCTCTTTTTTTCCTTCCTCTGCCTCTTCTCTTTCCCTTTATTAAAAAAAAAAAGTCTATTGTTTTCATAAAAATGACACAAAACCACGACGGGAAAGTGAAAGGAGAAAGCGCGTCCATCCACACGTTCACCCTCCAGACCCGCCCGCCCCGCCGCTGACCCCGCGAGCCCGGCGCAGACCCGAGGGGGGTGCGGGGCGGGAGGGCTTCTGCGAAGAATCGGATCCTGCATTCGACTTAGAGGTAAGACATGAGTGAGATCGTTCACTGTAGTTTTCCTTGAATTTAATTGGCAAAAGCAAGATGAAGTGAGGCCAGAGCCGCTGGCTGGGCGGCTCTTCACGCTGCGTGAGAAGAAAGGCCGGGAAAGGCGCGGACGTGGCGTCTCGGGGGGCCAGGAGCCCTGACTGTCCAGAGGGAGGGCGCAGAGCCGGAGGCCTGAGGGGGCTCGGGGTGGGGGAGCCTGTTGCGGGGGACTTGCTTGCTGAGAACAGAAAGCGCTGACCCCGAGCGAGGGGAAACGCCGGGATTTGTGGGCTTGTCCGAGTGTGACCTGCCTGTGTCCCTCCAGTCCCGCCAGGTGGCCCCGCGAGGACCCGCCCTGGTCATGCCCCTCACCTCAGCCCAGAGCTGGCCAAGGAGGTGCCTGTCCTGCCCAGGGAGAGCCCAGCGCGGGTCGCCCCCTCGACACAGCCGCCCGGCCAGCCCGGGCTCCGAGGAATAAAGAGCTGCCCTCGGTCAGCACGCGTTTCCCGACAAGGCCCGGCATTTGGGGGGCCTCTTTCTGCTGGGGCCCATATTTGGCACCTAAGACAGAACTTCCCGTGGAGAAAGCATCTGCCAGAAAGACTAGAGGCATTTGGGTTTTTATTTTGTTTTATTTCCCTGATGCCCTCAGCTACTCTTATCTGTTTATTAAAACACTGACGGCAAGACCAGCCGGAAGCCGGCATCTCGGGGTGCTAGCAGAGTCTCAGCTGCACACGCTTTATGACCCTGCCCCCCTCTTGCTTTTCCAACACGTGGGCACACTCGGTGTCTGTGCGAAGCGGGGCCGGCGTGACCAGTGCGGGGCCAGGTGAGCCGAACCTGTCCAGGCGAGTTAGAAATGGCAACGGTACCCAGTGGAGGTGTGGTTTGCTGCTGCTTGAACAGAATGGGGTGTCACACCCCAAAATGCAGACTG